TAACATTCTGAAGAAAATTCTGCTCAAAGATACCAGAACATTGTATAAAAAAAAATTATATATTATATGGAGGGCCGGACTAGGCGCCCGCGACAAAAAAATTAAAAGTTTGGAAGTGTGTGACTGAAGAGGGAGGCGTGGCGATGTATACTACACAACATACGTACAAAGTACTCGTTGGTGTGAGGAGCACCTTCCAATGTTGCTTTTGATCTTTTATTTAGCGTGTGCGTAACCATGTTATTATAGACAATTTTAATATTTGGTGTACAGAAACTGTTTCGACTCCTAAACGGTCCTGACCAATTGGAGCAGTCGAGATTTTGTGACTGTGTTTTCATTGAACAGTATAATAAATATATACATTTATTTGGAACTGTTAGCTTTTATTTCACCACCCATTTAACGGAGGTATGTAAGTCTACAATAACCCGCCATAAAAGAAATATAAAAGGACAAACAGCTTAAATAGTACACGTCGTAGACAGAGGTGGGCAAAGTGCTCAACAAAAGAGGTGCAAGTCCTAAGCCCAAGGATGAAACGGTAGGAATCAACCCCAAGCGACGACAACCTTTAGCCCCGAATCAAGACAGCATCAGTTCAAGGGATTAAATTACCAAAATTCCACCAATACTACAAAAACATTAATGTTATTACAATTATCTGTAGTATCTCAATCTGTTTGTCTTTTCTTATTACTCTTACGTCGGGTGCCAGGATCACACCTCCCTAACTTATTACAATCTTGAGAGTCCTTTAGGATCTATCAACCATCCTCATTGGGTAAATCCTTGACACAGTAATAACTCAGAAGATCAACCATCATAGTATTTATTTCCCAAATTAGTTTTTTAATTTTCCAAAATTAATCCAATATAAAAAATTTGAGGAATGAAAAATTAATTTTTCAAAAATTTTAACAATTTTATTGCATTTACTGGTGCATAAAGTGAAGAAAGGACGAAACAATTATCAGCCCTTTTGAGACATATACATGAATTGACAAAAGAATTGTAAAAAGAATGATGCATCTACCTTTCTATTATCCTGTTATTATCCTTTTATTCGTAAAATAGAATTTTTGTCGCAAACATTTAAAATGCAAAAGAGTTGTACTTTAAATACGTTTTGCTTAATTTAGAGGTGAAATAGTCAACGTTGATAACAACGAAACGTGCTCTTGAAAAATTCCTTTTTATATTTAAAAATTGTCCGCGTTTTTCAGAACTATGAACTGTTCTATCTCTCACAGTGATACAGGTTTCATTTCGATTATTTCGAATGTATTGATTGCTGCATACTGCAAATTCCTTGCGCTTCTCTTCACTTTGAAACTTTCAGATACTGTCGACAGATACCGCGCTTGATCCTTAACGTTAACGCTAAAATATATTCGTTTTAAATCCTTCATTCACCGTATTATCCATTTTTTTGGGAGATATTTATTCTTAAAACTGAATAAATGTAATTGTTTAGCTTTAATATTGATATTAAATTGAAACTAACAGAAAATTACTTCTTGCGTTCCATATGTTACCCATCATTGCAGAGATGGCGCATCAATGAGTATATGTTACAAAATTATTTTGAAATAATGAATTCAAAAAGGCGCGCATCAATCAATATGGTTCTTATTATGCTGTAAAATTTAACAGAAGGTTGTATGTATCATGGTACAATTTAGATTTTTTTGTTTCATTTCTTATACCTGGCCGTATATTACTATAAGCCTTCATGCTTGAAGTAACAATACTGTAATCTTTTTAAGCAATACCTATATAAATTTTTAAAATTACAGGACAAATAGAATTCGCTTGAAACGAAAAATTGAACTGCTAAATAGAAAATTCCTATTATTATTGTTTTTTATTAAGTTTTCACATTAAACGGATATCATCTTGATATCACAGCATGCAAAGATATCAAATACAAAGGCTTTTTAATGTTCACCTTACCAAAAGAATGTCTCCACAATTGTTTGGACCTTTTGAGTATTTTTCAAGTGTTAGGTAGGTACTTTGATCCAGTTCAATATTACTTGACCCGTTCGGGGGAGGGGGGTGTCATTAAAAAAGACCACGCTTAGTCAAAGGGTTGGAGCGGGGGGCTTAGGTTATCATCACGTCGTCAATATCCTCTAATAGGAAAATTTCGCACTTTTTTGAGCTACATTCAAAACTTTCTTTGCAAAAAAAAAATTTAAAACCATATTTATGAATTACTACGTGAAAACTGGAGGAGTTGGGGGGGGGGCTTGGCATATAGTACAGATGGTCACTGAGGGGGGAGGTAAATAATTGTGAAAAATTGGTCACGTAGTGTATGCGTACGTTCCCTAATGTCGCACAAACATCCAATGT